GGAGTCGACAACTGCCAACGACAAGTATCGAACCCGCATCCCCAGATCCCCAAGGGCTGTGCGGTGCAAGTTACTTTTGGGTCAAAAAACTCACTGACCCAGAACTGACCCTGTTTTGACCACTAACGCCAATTTGACCCCAAAGAAACTCTGGGGGTATTTACAGGACAGGCTTGGGTCAGGCCGGAAGGTGGGTCACGCTAGGGTCAGAAACATTTTGGTGATGCTGACACCCACGCACTTGCTCACGCAGTCTCCATCACACCCACCCTCTCACTCACTCACAAACTCATCCTCTCACTTACCATTTCAGTCAGCGACGCACTCACTCACTCGGCCACATAATCCGCCTCGCACCTCACTATCGCACTCGACCATACACACATGCTCGCGCTCTTCCACGCATCCTTCCAAGCACTCAGGCACGCACACAGCCATGCACTCACTCTCGCACATAGCCACGCACTCACTCTTGCACTCAATCGCTCACTCACCTTCGCACTTAGCCACGCACTTACACTCGCACTCTGAAAGGCAATCACTCGCGCACTCATCCTCGCACTCACTCACGCACTCATCCTCGCACTCACTCACGCACTCGCCCGCGCACTCATCCAAGCACTTACTCTCGCATTCACGTACGCACTCACTCACCCATGCACTCAATCACGCAATCATCCTTGCAACGAAGCTTAAAATAGAGGCTTTGAGTAGGGGATGGACTCCATCAAAGAAAAAAGGCATGAAATCAACAATTGGTATGCAACGATACAGAAAGGTGTACGTGGTAGAGGACTGTATGGGACATGAGAAGGGAGGGAAACAGCGAAAGTGACAAACGTGAGCAAAAACGAAGCAAGGACGATGCAGCCTTCGCGCTTTGGCGCCAGCGCCTACAGCGTTCAAGGCGCCAAGCCGCCAGCGAAAAATGCGCTAAGGCGCCAGCGAGATAGGCGCCAAGGCGCCAGCGAAATAGGCGCCCCGGCGCCAGCGAACAAGGCGCGCCGGCGCCTTGAAGGCGCCACCGGCGCCTGCAAACAAGGCGCCACGGCGCCTGCGAACAAGGCGCCACAGCGCCTGCGAACAAGGCGCCGTACGGCGCCTGCTAACAAGACGCCACGGCGCCTGCGAACAAGGCGCCACGGCGCCAGCGAACAAGGCGCCGTACGGAGCCTGCGAACAAGGCGCCACTGCGCCTGCGAACAAGGCGCCACGGCGCCAGCGAACAAGGCGCCGTACGGCGCCTGCTAACAAGGCGCCACGGCGCCTGCGAACAAGGCGCCACGGCGCCAGCAAACAAGCGCCAAGCGCCTTGCCAACGCTACTACTAGTAGCACCTACCGGAGCAACCGCGGCTGTGGGAGAGGAGACTACTGCTCTGCCAACGTTGAACAATTGCTAGAATCAAGAAAGTTCTGATTAGTAAGATCAAGAATCGAGAAGCGAGCTCAGAAACATGACTGAAACAAGAAACTCGGAAGCAGTTGCTTGAAGTGTTCTACTACCTCCTCACGATAATCGAGAGTGGGCATGGAAAGAGCGAGATAGATGCGCTTCGGGAAAAAACATGTGCAAAGAAACATCATGCGGTGCGGAGAAACATGAGGAAGAATACCAGGCACCAGCGCCAGCACCAGCGCGTTAGCGCCAGCATGTATGCGCACGTGAAATTCAGCCGACTCAGCTCCATTTCATGTGCAGTTTGCGCCAGCTCCAGAAAGTGAATAACTGACCGCACGTTCTCCATAATAGTGTAAAGCAGTAAATCACTTATCGAATAGATAAACATGCTCACTATTCCTCATTATCTTGTGTTCTAGATAAAGACAAAAATGCAATACATATGTAACATAAACTGGATGAAAAATAATATATGCACAACTGCGTTGCAATTATCTTGAGTACGGTATGCAGAAAGTGGTAAATGTAGACGATTAATTGCCTGTCGCGATTGATGTGCAAGAATATAAATTTCAAGGAGACGTACAATTTGGTGCAATAAGAATATAAATTTGTATTTGTCATTATACCGTATAAGCGCATGCGCTTACATTTTTACTCACATACAAGAGCACCCCCCTAAAAAAACACTAATTTTTTATAAGCGCACCTGCGCTTATATTAGGGATATTACGGTACTACGCAACCCTTACGACGTTCATCGTCGAGCCTTGTTTTCTAGATACTGAACCATCTTTTCGATTTTGATCGAGGAATCTGGTCGTAGGGTTGGGCAAATGTGTCGTAAGGGGTGCCAAAATCACGTTCATGGCACATTCACATTCGTGCCACATTCACATTCGCTCCACATTCAAATTTCCAGTTCTAAGTCGTGGGAATTCCACATGCAGAGACAAACACTTGCATCGGTAGCGCCTGAGCCTTCTGCAAAAAGCGAGAGCTGTAGGAATGGGTTTGGGGGTGTGAATTATGCAGAGAAAAACAAACAGGAGAAGGTGATAAACAAAGTGAGTCAAGGAGTCGGAAGAGGAGAGTGAGAGGCCGACGGAAACACGGACGCGAGGGGAGAGGGAGAGAACAAGGGGCCAAAGGTTACTGGTTGGGTGATGGGAGGGGCATTGGGGAGGGGAGGGCACGAGGGCGACGGTACGGGACGGGAGGTGCGAGCGCGAAGGCGACGGGACGGGACGGGAGAACACGAGGGCAACAGGAAGGGACGGGAGGTGCGAGCGAGAAGGCGATGAGAGACGAGAACGTGAGCACAAGGGAGATGGGAGGGGAGACCATGAGCGCGAAGGTGGTGCGAAGATGGGAGAACGTGAGCGGGATGGCGGGGGAAGGGGAGAACGTGAGCGCAATGGCGGGGGAAGGGAAGAACGTGAGCGCGATGGCGGGGGAAGGGGAGAACGTGAGCGCGATGGCGGGGGAAGGGGAGAACGTGAGCGCGATGGCGGGGGAAGGGGAAAACGTGAGCGCGATGGCGGGGGAAGGGGAGAACGTGAGCGCGATGGCGGGGGAAGGGGAGAACGTGAGCGCGATGGCGGGGGAAGGGGAGAACGTGAGCGCGATGGCGGGGGAAGGGGAGAACGTGAGCGCGATGGCGGGGGAAGGGGAGAACGTGAGCGCGATGGCGGGGGAAGGGGAGAACGTGAGCGCGATGGCGGGGGAAGGGGAGAACGTGAGCGCAATGGCGGGGGAAGGGGAGAACGTGAGCGCGATGGCGGGGGAAGGGGAGAACGTGAGCGCGATGGCGGGGGAAGGTGACAAGCACAAGCGCGGTGGCAGCTTGTGAAGGTTCTGCAAAGAGCGAGAGAGGTTAGGATTATTTGCTGCGTATGAAGACTTTGGGCCTGAGAGAGGGCGGCAAAATCGCTGAGAAAACCAATAGGAGGGAAAAAACAGAGAGAAACAATGTGAGGGAAGAGGAGAGAGAGGGCGACAGAAACAATGAGGGCTACTCGACAAGAGCCCGGTTCGAGGGCGAGATGAGAGGGGAACACGAGGGCAACGGGAGGGCGGCTCAGAGCGAGCGCAAAGGCGACGAAGTGGGTAATGGGAGGGGAGTGAAGAAGGGAGCCGCGAGGGCGTTTCAAGGCCAGCGGCAGGGCGATGGGCGAGGAGAGTCGACTGTGCGCAACAAGAGGGCATTGCGGGCTTAGGGCGACGACGATGATGTGGGTAATAGGAGGGGAGACGTGGGAGGCGACGAGAGTGCGCCTCGATTTCGAGGCGAGCGCATAGGCGACGAGGTGGGTGACGGGAGGGGAGAAAGGAAGGGCGACGAGAGGGCGTTTCAGGGTGAGCGAGAATGTAACGAAGTGGGTGATGGGAGGGGAAACGGGGAGGGTACGCGAAGTGCGACGGGTAAAGGGGGGGCGAAGGTAATGGCGAGGGAAAGGCGACATGGGCTGACGGCGATGCGGAGGTTGACGATTGTGCTACTGGCGGGAAAAATAGCACGGCGCTACTAGGCTACGTAATACTAAATCACCTATTCATGCGAATAAACGCAGTCGTCGATAATTCCGTGCCTATGACACAAGCACATATGCTTTCCGCTATACTATGCGTGTGGAAAAAGACTACGGAGTAAGGGAGTAGAAATCAGGGAGTTATGAACCCAGGACCAGCTTGATATTGAAGTTGGCCTTGCGATGGAACACATCGCAAGGACGATGGAAACCATCGCCAGGGAACGGTCGTGCAAGTGCAGGTCGCAGAAATGTGAGCGGGAAAGTCCATTCTGGCGGGAGCGACAACATCCCATTTTGGCGAGAGCCAATCACATGAGCTCACTCTGCCCGCACGTTTTGTTTCAAGCAGTGTTTTGTCAGACATGTTTCATTCTCTCTTCGCTTCAAAAAATATTGTCGCAACACCACTTTCAAGTTGGGACGGGGGTCACTATTTTGCATGCGGGCTTTAAATAGGAACATAATTTGTACGCTCCACATACAATGTTGATACACATCCATTTCATTGCCACAATTCCTTCCTGGTTCCACCTTTTCAATAATGTAGGAAAGAACTTCATGCAAACAAAAATAAATCATTGAAAGACAAACTTACTCCCCAAGCACATCCACAGGTCAAACCAATGTAAAACGTAGACCCCCACTTCCATTCAACGAGCTAGACCTGCATGGAAGGATGCATGCACTGATGTACAGCTGCAATCAAACCGTTCCATCTTTAGAAGCCTACTGAGGCTGGATACAGCTTCATCAGCTCTAATGATTGTCCCAAGTGGAGAGTGGAACGGAGAATATTAACAGCAGGCAGTAGGATGGAGAGTACGGTAGAAGGCGTGGCAAGGCAAGCAACGCACTACCCAAGCTGGAAGGGCGGGCAGGGCAGCATGTCAGTGGTAGTCCACCGGGGCTGGGTGCTCCTTGAGATGCTTGCCTGCCTTGATGATGGTCTGCCATGGGGGGTTATGAAGTGCGGGAGGCAGGAGGGTGGGAAATTGTGAGGCACGGGAGATTGCGCCAGCACAGCAAGGAGAATATCCGAGCTGGAAGGGCGGGCAGGGCAGCATGTCAGTGGTAGTCCACCGGGGCTGGGTGCTCCTTGAGATGCTTGCCTGCCTTGATGATGGTCTGCCATGGGGGGTTATGAAGTGCGGGAGGCAGGAGGGTGGGAAATTGTGAGGCACGGGAGATTGCGCCGGCACAGCAAGGAGAATATCCGAGCTGGAAGGGCAGGCAGGGCAGCATGTCAGTGGTAGTCCACCGGGGCTGGGTGCTCCTTGAGATGCTTTCCTGCCTTGATAATGGTCTGCCACAGGGGGTCGAAATTCAGGAAGCCAAGAGAGATTGCAAGGCGAATCAGTTCCAGACAGAGGCATCAACAGAACAGAGCTGAGGCCATGGGAGTCCCAGAAGCATGGAAACTCCAGCAGATTCCACATCTTAAACGCACCGTCGCGTAGTGGTTCATCAAGTGTCGCGTCCCTGGGCAGCTGCCAGCGATCCCCACACACACATGCGGTTACCAGGTAACCGCATTCCCTTCCAACTCACCGCAGGCATAGTGGGTCACGTCCCGGTGGTGTGCCTCGTCCGCCCGCACGGACAGCACCACATCGTACAGCGTTGCATCTTGAGGCAGCTGCCAGTAGTCAATCACAATTTCACTCCCCACATTCCACAATCCCAAGTGGTAACCAGGTAACCGCAGCATGATTGTTCACATCGCGGTGGTGAGCCTCATCTGCCCGCACGGACAGCACAACATCATACAGAGTCGCATCTTGAGGAAGCTGCCAGTAGTCTCAATCTCACTCCCCACATTGGACACACCCACGTGGTAACCAGGTAACCACAAGCACATATCTCCCAACTCACCGCAGCGTAGTGGTTCACGTCCCGATGGTGAGCCTCATCCACTCGCACAGACAGCACCACATCATACAGCGTCGCATCTTGAGGCGGCTGCCAGTAGTCCATGGCAATCCCACCCCCCACATTCCACACGCCCATGTGGTAACCAGGTAATTGCACTCCCAACTCACTGCAGCGTAGTGATTCACGTCCCGGTGGTGGGCCTCGTCCGCTCGCACGGACAGCACCACGTCATACAGCGTCGCACCCTTGGGCAGCTGCCAGTAGTCAACTGGAACCTCACTCACCACATGCCCATGTGGTAACCAGGTAACCGCACTGCCTGACTCACCGCCGCATAGTGATTCACGTCACGGTGGTGTGCCTCATCCGCCCGCACGGACAGCACCACGTCATACAGCGTCACATCCTTGGGCAGCTGCCAGAAGCCAATCTCACTCTCCACATTCCACACGCGCATGTGGTAACCAGGTTACCACCAACCCCAGCTCACCGCAGCATAATGGTTCACGTCTCGGTGGTGTGCCTCATCCGCCCGCACCGACAGCACCACGTCATGCAGCGTCGCATCTTTAGGCAGCTGCCAGTAGTCGATGGCAATCTGCGGCGCCGGCACATTGGCGATGCGCCCCTCATCGATCTCCTTGAGGTACTGCGTGTACGAGTGCACTGCCTCCTCTTCCAGGTACCCCACGATGCGGTGCGCGATGCGCGGGGAGAGGAGATACACGAGCCCGTACACTGCAGCGAACCCACTCTGTTGATTTGGAATACAGGGGTTGACAGGAACAAGAAGTGCCCCAAGAAGGAAATATAACAATAGTTGGCCATGCGCTCTGCATCAATTTCCTTCAGATACCACACGATTCAGTGTCCGATGCGCGGGGAGAGGAGATACACGAGCCCGTACACTGCAGCGAACCCACTCTAATGAATGCGGTAAACAGGGGGTGACAACAGAATTGAAGGGATGAAAGGAGCATCGACGGACTATGCATCTCGTTTTTTAAGGATAGGCTGGGTCTCACCCAATGATTAGCTCACGTGAACGGACCCCTCACCTGAACGGTGAATATGAGGCCGCGCTCGAACCACGTGGGCTGCGAGACCTGCATGAAGGTCATGAGGTGCATGCGCTCGTTCTCCGCCTCCTCCATCAGCGCGCGCAGTGAGAGAGGGATTGCAGTCAACCCACGGCTCACCAAAACCGCTCACCTGAAGTGAACTGCTCCCCGCAACGAATAGCTTACCTGAACGGTGAATATCAAGCCGCGCTCAAACCACGTGGGCTTCGAAACCTGCATGAAGGTCATGAGGTGCATGCGCTCGTTCTCCGCCTCCTCCAGCAGCGCGCGGATCCACCCGCCGCTGTTCTCCACGAGGCGCAGGCAGCGCATGTGCAGCAGCACGCCCGCCACCATCCCCGGCACCGCCGCCACGGTCTCCAGCATCATCGCGCGGCAACCGTACCGTTTCTGTGCGGTGCAGAGGGGTGAGGGGAGGGGAGGAAAAGGGTGGATTTTGAGTCTGAGTCGGAAGTCACCTCGTTTCCGGCACCATCGCGCGGCAACTGTGCCGTTTCGGCGCGGTGGAGTGTTGCGCGACGGGAGGAAATGGGCGACGAGGAATAGAGCAGATAGAGAAAAATGAACCAGACGAGCGGAGTAGCTGGAAAATCGACAAATGCGTATGCAGCAGAGCTAAGAGATGAGGGCAAGGAACAAGACAGCGACGAGGTCCTGGCGGGAATCTGGTAACATAAACGAAGTGCGGAGCGTTGCGGAGCAGAGCAAACACCTGGAAGAACAGGTCTGTGGGGAAGCGGAGCGACTTCACGAGGTACTTGGCGAAAGCGTCACCGAATCCGGTAACCGGAAAGTGCCTGTCAAGTTCTGTCTTTCGGTTAGCGGTGTAGCTGTCCGTGGGCTGCGCACATCACCAAACGAAAACGGTGAGTGACTCAATATCAAGGATACAAAGCCGAACAAGCCCACAAATCATACGTACATTCAATTAGTAACATTAACGCTATATTCTCCTAACAATATCTCTACCCCAATCTTCATATTTTTCATCACAACAAATCACTCACCCGGAAGGAATTCCAGGGCCAGGGCGTGCCATCCTCACGCAGGTACTGCTTGGGCTTGATTCCCCAATACTGGGAAAGCGCTTCCGGATCCAGTGCAATCTTCTTCATGTCTACTGGAGGCTCGTTTTGCGCCTTGGGCTGCACGCCAGAAAGCAAACCAGCGTTATTAGCGAGGCTGCAAATATTGCATGCTTTTGTTGAAGTTTCAGTCGACGACAGCCAAGAGAGACGTACTTTGACAAAAGGCGTTTGTAAGACAAACATAGTCATTCAGTCATGTCGTTTACCTTGCTGCTCTGTGTGTGATCCTCTGGCTCTTCTTCGACGATTCGAGCTGTAGCCGTGTTATGTGGGCGGATTTGGATCTTGAACCGTTCAATCGTCGAGCTCGCAGCAGTTACACCGCCAAAACGCGGGTTCTGTGTCGTCCACTTCTGGCCAATCATCGCGCTAGGCGCCGGCGAAGCCGCCGCTGTGGTTGAAGCGTGAGAGACGCTCCAGTAGGCTGCTCGCGACACTGAGTTGGAAGCCTCGCCTGCCGCGGAGCCGATGCGCGCTGCGGGAGCGAAATTTGACGATGACGTGACGTTCCGAAGTGCGCCAATCCTCCCAGTGCTCTCGAGCTGCAGCGAGAAGAAATAAGACCCGGCATAACTACTACGACGGTAGTAAAAAATACCGCAAAAAGTAATTTGTTAATGCATGTGGATCGCTTACCACAGTGGTGTAGCAGGCGAATCGTAATGTTGTCTGATATGCGGGATGTCCCAGCAACCTTCGAGCCGCACGATGGTTTCTCAATACAGCAGCAGCAGCCATGATGACGATTGATTCTCGCGTATGATAGAACTTTGATTGAACACGATTGTTCGCTAGCGATATCGACGGAAGGTAGTGGGAGGGTTTGAAATGAGATGGGGGTGGGCGGGACGGGTTGTGGCGATGAACGGAGTGAAGTTGACGGAGTTGTTGATGCTGCTGCTGCTCTGTTATAAGGAAGTCGCCTCGATTTCAGCCTTTTTGTGGAGCTCGAATGTGAAATTGGTGCAATCAAGCTGGGCCTTATGAGCACAGCCAAGATTTGTTCGAGTCGCGTGAAGGGTGAAATCGAGCCGCTGCTGGGACCTGATGAAGTGAGGCATTTGCCCACAGTTGAGCTGATTGTTCCCATCCCAGCACCGACATTGCAATTGGGCGAGTTTCGCAAGTACGTGGCATGAGACGGCCCTGGTAACTTCTCGCGAAGCCTGCGACGAGGAGAAATTTGCAGCCGTCAATACCAATATGAGGTGGAGAAAGCGAACGGCTGCCACGAAAATTGTCCAACCAGGTGACGTAGAAACTGCGGGGTCGTGGAGATGGCGAAGCTGATTTGCTGAGCTTGCTGACTCGGCTGCCGCCGAGAGGAGTAATGGCGGACGAAGGTTCATTCGAAATGTCTTCGACGATTTGTGCGGCCCAGGCGTCCGTGCAATCCGTACATAACCATCTTGCCTGAGTCAATCCGATTCTTTTGCTTTTGCTATGTGTTTGAGAAAAAAGGTACACCAAGAGCTATGGTACTTGTACCTCTACATGTAGATTAACATCCATTAAGTTTTGAAGGGTTTGCTTTGCCTGCTCTGCATGCCGAAATAACATTCAACCAAACCAAATCATACAGCTTTCTGCAATGGGGATTATAAAAATATTATATTTCTTCGACCATCATATTTTCTTCCTCAGCAACATCATATACAACAGAAAAGACAAGCCGACACGAATCAGGCGCTTGAGAATCACCTAGCCATGTGCCACATCAGCAGCACACTCATGCCACGGACCAACCACGGCATGCCAGCAGGCATTGGGGGGAGCAGACGCCGCCAGCACATGCATGACTGCCGCCCGCGCATGCTCGTCCCAGGCCCTAGCCATGGCTGTCAGCGTGAGAGGGCCCTTAGCAGCCCGCATGGCTATGGTAAAGCGATCCATGGCGTCTTGAACCACCGGTGATCTGTAGCGGGCAGCGGAAGAATGGAGAGGAAAGGTAAGGACGGGAGTGGGGAGGAAGAGCTGTTGTACCGTAAAATCCATGCAATGCCCATGGCTTGGCTTGGCTCGGCTGTGGTAAAGCGGTCCATAGCATTGTGATTCGTGAAGCAAGGGAGATCGGCAGCAGGGAGTAGAGGAAAGGGAGATGCGAGGCTGTGTGCTCTCGACCCATGGTTAGCCATGGCTGTCTGATCGGCACCACTGAGTTGACTTTTGAGTTTACTCAAAAGTCAACTGGCACTCTCAGCGTCGGTTAGATTTTAGGATGCTTGCATGGCTCTACGTTTGAGGCGCCTCAAAAGGTTAGGCTTTTGGATGCTTGCATGGCTCTACAATCTATTGAAGCGACCGAAAGCATTGTGAACCACTGGGAATGTGTTGGAGGGTGGAGGGACACATGTGGCACGAGCAGAGCAGCAGGCAGGAGCAGAGAAGCAGGCAGGTGGCAGAGCAGCAGGCAGGAGCAGAGCAGCAGGCAGGAGCAGAGAAGCAGGCAGGTGGCAGAGCAGCAGGCAGGAGCAGAGAAGGAGGCAGGTGGCAGAGCAGCAGGCAGGTGGCAGAGCAGCAGGCAGGAGCAGAGCAGCAGGCAGGAGCAGAGCAGCAGGCAGGAGCAGAGCAGACAACAGCTGCTCGCATGGTTGTAACATCACCTGGTGTGTGGGTGGGCTTGGAAGGGCCATGGTTGGGGCGAGCAGTGCGGGTAGGAGCCGGGGACGAGCAGGCGGAGGGGAGGGAAGGGAATGGCCACCTGTGGAGTGGAGTGGAGGCATGACAGGGCGGCAGCGGGAATTGAGGGAGGGAGGGAAGAGGGTTGCTTATTAGCTCGTGACCTGGAAGGTGGTCTGGAAAGAACAACGCGGCATTGTTATGTTACCGATAACGTGGCACGAGCAGTGGGGCTTTCATGAAAGCCCTACCGGCCGGGGCAAGGTGTTGACCAGGGGAGCTTTCATACAGGCAAAGCACGTGTCCAGTATTGTGCAACTTGTGAGCAGGCTCAAACTCCTTCCAAGCGCACGGCTTAGGAAACGCATCAACTGAGCAAAGGAGTGCGAAAGTGCAGCAGCACTGTGACACCATCCTCGGCATTTTTCAGAATTCCCAATAAGGGAATGTGGGAGTGCGTACCGAGGGAATGTCAAAACACAGCAGCACTGCAGCGCCATCCTTTCTTAGGGCGTGCGCTCTGCTGGTCTTGTTTAGAGTCGACTCAAAACACGTACCGAGGGAATGTAAAAGTGCAGCAGGACTGCAAAACACGTACCGAGGGGATGTCAAACCGCAGCAGCATTGCAGTGCCATCCTTGCCCAGGGCGTGCGCTCTCCTCGTCTCCCTCGCGCTGACCTCCACACTCGAGTCTATCATCTCCTCGTTCAGCCGCTGCGCCTCCCATGTGAGCGCGGCGTTGAGCTGATGGCACCGGGGGGTGTAGGTGCAGTGGTGAAGCAGGGAGAATAGAGACGAAGGAACGAGGGGGAGAAATAAGAGGGAGAAATGACGGGGAGAAATGAGGGGGAGAAATGAGGGGGAGAAATGAGGGGGAGAAATGAGGGGCAGAAATGAGGGGGAGAAATGAGGGGGAGAAATGAGGGGCAGAAATGAGGGGCAGAAATGAGGGGGAGAAATGAGGGGGAGAAATGAGGGGCAGAAATGAGGGGGAGAGATGAGGCGACTTATAAGGCGCCTCAGAAGTCGCCTGGAGTCGCTATCCACGATAAGAGATGCA